CTGTCCCCCAAATATCACATGTCATTCAATCACAGAAGCTTCAGTGGGAATGCCAGTGAGTCAATTTATATGATCTCTTGAAAGAATTTTACTACAAAGTAGTTTTAGTACTGGTGTGAATTTCCCTTTTTGGCAGTTTGCATATAATTCCTTATGAAAGCAGAGGATTGCCATGTGTATGTGAACTGAAGGAAGAATAGATTCTTCTGCTGCAAATTCCCTCACTAATACATTTTTTTGTCCTTAGTTCTTAACGAAAGAAATTCTAACCCGGGCTGTGAATTACTCACACTATTTCCATGAGTGTGGTTACTGCTAACCAGTTTTAGACAGCAGTCTTTCTCCAGCTGCTGCAGGCTTTTGTTGTGATTTTTCTTTCAGATCCTGAGGCTTGGTGGAATTGCCTATTTTCTGAGCAAACTGATGGACCCCCCCTCTCGTGATGCTGTGATGTTGGCCATAAATCACCTGATGGAGCTGGTAAGGTGTTGCTTCACCTGTTCAGAGCCGTGGGCCTGGGGCTGTTAGCAGGCAGGTGTGGCTGCACAGCTGTGGGCATTGCAGCCCCTCACCCTTTGTGCAGAGCCTGGTGGACCCTCACTGCTCAGGGGGCACTGCACACACTCCACCATGCCTGGGGGCTCTGCAGGGTGCTTCTGAGGGACTTGGGAAATGACTCCAAACAGACACGTGACCCTGCACTTGAGCTCCCCGTGGGCTGATTTAACTCCCTCCTCTGCAGCCCTGCTGCCTCCCTGCCTTCCTGAGCCAGGTGGTCAGTGAGGGGCTGGAGACAAATGGGGCACCTGGGAGAAGCACCTTGTCATTTCCCCTGGGTGCTGGGGAAGGACAGGTTCATGGCACGTTTGTTCTGACTCCTTGCTCTGGTGATACTTGTGCAAATGAGCTGTAGCATAAATAGAAACATCTGCTTGGATGTTAGAGGGTGATAGCTGTGTACCAGTGGCTCTCCCAAGGAAATCCTCTTTTCACGTGACGTGTGTGTTCTTTCCTTTCTGCCCTTGTCCTGGCAGAATGCTCTGGACAGGCAGGAGGAGCTGACTCCCCTGGGGGTGCACCTGGCACGGCTGCCTGTGGAGCCACACATTGGGAAGATGATCCTGTTTGGAGCCTTGTTCTGCTGCCTGGACCCCGTGCTGACCATTGCAGCCAGCCTCAGCTTCAAGGACCCTTTCGTCATCCCTCTGGTAAAGTCCCACAGACAGCAATCACATGTGGGAATTTAAGCCTCTCAGGAGGGTGCTGGGACTCTGTGAGATGTTATAGTTTAAGAGCACTTTCATTAATGTCATGGTAATTACATTTTTATTAGTGAGATTGCCTCTGCATACTATGAATTATCATTTTTCCTGTGGAATATTTGAAATTACTATAATTTTCATGTATAACATACAAAGTACAGATGTACCTGAATTTGAAGAAGAGAACTGTCATGTCAGCCTAGGTATTATGTAGGTTCTGATTTTTAGGGCAAAGAGAAAATCGCAGATGCAAGAAGAAAGGAGCTGTCAAAGAACTCGAAAAGCGACCATCTGACTGTGGTGAATGCCTTCACTGTAAGCATGTTTTCTTGTGGTTTTTTTCTTCTAGAATTTTCATTTGAGTAATATAGATGATCCTAAGGAAAAAGCTGATCAGTTTATGCTCTGTAGGCTTTCGTGTTTGGCTTCTACAGAAACATAAAACCAAACTGATTTTCACCCTTCTAGCGTTGCATAATCTTGTCTCCAGGCTCAGTAACCTGATTTCTGGTGGACAAGTCTGAAAAGACAATGGAAACACAGTATTACAGTTACTTTGGTGAAGTTTTTCATTCTTCTGGCCTCTACAAGAGGCTGAAGCCAACTTCAGAAGGGTTGGACATTGTGCTGTACTGTGTTGTGGTGAGGAGAGGAGGAAATAAACGGCCTGGAAAAGGCAGTAACTGCCCAAATTTAACTTTGTTAATTACACCAAAGGGTGGCTGCTCTGGCAAAGACAGCCAGGTGTCACTGCCTGCCAGGGAAAAAGGAAGGTTGTGATTCAGCATATTGGGAAGTTGTGTTTTTCTGCACTGTGGTGTGTGCACACACACAGAGATCAGAGGATTTACTTTCTCCCTGGCAGGAGAGAAAGTAAATCCTCTGATGTGACTGTTGACCTCCAGTTTTGGCTGTCCTGAAGTCTATAGTGTTCACTTACAAACACCTTACAACTCTGGTGTTCATTCCTAGGGCTGGGAAGAGGCTCGGAGCTGTGGTTTCAGGAATGAGAAGGACTATTGCTGGGAATACTTCCTGTCCTCAAACACCATGCAGGTAACAGCATCCTGCCAGGGTCAGAGGATCCTGTGTGTGGGGAAGGGGAGGAGCCTTGGCACAGCATCATTCTGGGGCAATTTTTGTTGTTTCCTAGATGCTGCATAATATGAAAGGGCAGTTTGCTGAGCATCTCCTTGCAGCTGGATTTGTGAATAGTAGAAACCCCAAGGATCCCAAATCTAACACCAACTCAGGTAGCCGTGGAGGGAAAGGGAGAATTTATCCCAGCTGAAATCTCAGCTTGCAGAACTGCCTCACTCACTTTGCTGTCTCCTGCAGGTAATGAGAAGCTGCTCAAAGCAGTCATCTGTGCTGGCCTCTATCCCAAAGTGGCAAAGATCCGGCCCAGCTTCAGCAAAAAGAGAAAAATGTGAGGGTTTGGTTTAATGTTGGGTTGTATTCAAGGTGTTTTCTATATGGCATAATTTGGCAAGGTGAAGCAGTGGCTTGAGTGCATGAATGAATCTCACTTTAGAGTTTGAGTCGTGGTTGTGCATGACTTCCTCTGACAAGGGTGGGATTGTTGATTTCTTAACTTGCAGATTCCTGCTGACACCTGAAGTAACTTGTGTGACCTTGCCATAATGTTACATGGATAATCTCAGTAGCTCTGCTCTCAAGGGGTTCTGCAGCAGCAGTTCAAACATTGTCACTTCTGGTGTTTGGGAAAAGAGACCCCAAGAATCCTGGTCTGTTGATTTATCACTTTTTGTATTATCAGACTTTTTTTTTTTTTTAAGGGTGAAGGTTTGCACCAAGACAGATGGATCAGTCAATATCCATCCCAAATCAGTGAACGTGGAGGAAACAGAGTTCCATTATAACTGGCTCGTGTACCATCTGAAGATGAGGACCAGCAGTGTGAGTCAGAGCTGTGCTCCTGGGGTTTATTTGTTTTATTATCCCCTCTTGAATGAGGCTGGGTCAGGGTTCACAGGGGATGTGAACAGCCTTTGTTCTGGGGCCTTCCTGTCCCGGGCCATTCCTTGTACACACCATCAGATTATGTCCTTTGTGATACTGGGTATTGTGCCACAAGTAATGAACTTCTGTGGTTTAGTTCTTGGGGTTTTTTTTGAGGATTTGGGTTTTTTTAAGGTCTGGCAGTAACAGGTGTAAATTCTTTCAGTTTGGTTTTTTTTTTTTTTTTCATTTCAATAGCCTTAACAATTCTCAATATGCTGACTTTTTTTTCCTCTCATTGTTGTGGAGCATCTGGTTTGATTTCACCACGTGTGAAAGACTGAATGAAAGACTTGGGACCATTTTTGCCCTTGTGCAATCTGATTTCATGTAACTTTTTCTGAACTGAGTTGCTTCATGAATCTCTTCAGAAATTGTAACTGAGTAAGGATCTTCTGGAAATCTGTAGGAGTCTCATTAAGGATTACTGATGGCACTTGAGATATTTTGAGGGTGATCAGACAATTCTGTTGTTGTGCAGATTTACCTGTATGATTGTACAGAGGTGTCTCCATACTGCCTCTTGTTCTTTGGAGGGGATATATCCATTCAGAAGGATAAGGACCAGGAGACCATCGCTGTGGATGAGTGGATTGTTTTCCAGTCTCCAGAAAAAATAGCAAACTTGGTCAAGGTAACTTTTTCAAGAGAATGTACCTGGAAGGCTCAGTGTAACACTGGTTCTGCTTAGAGATTTCCAGATTTGATATTCCTGTGGGCCTACTGATTTATCACTGGGGGAGATGATGTTTGAAATGCACTCTCAGCAAGCAGTTCTAGCACACAAATTAAGCAAAAGAGATGTAATTTGGCACAGATGGTGTAGGATGACTTGGTCAGTACAGGAAATATTCACATGGATAAGGGAACATGAGAGGAGGGCTCCTCAGTTAACAGGAATGGGTTTTATAGAACTGTTTAATATTAGATCCCAGAAATCATACCTGGCTCTTTTTTAAATTTTATTTTAAACCAGTCTTTAATCCTGAGGTAGTCAGCTAAGTGCTGGGTGGGCTGCTGGAGGCGTCACATCCAGACATGGTCATCTCCCATCAAAGAGACTGGGTTTTGAGAGACTGTTTGATCCTGAAAATAGCAGTGTGGAAAAGAACTGGGGGAAGAGCAGGTGTAAATGTTGGGAGAGCAGAAGGCCTGAGGCACTGGAACCTCTCTGTTGATGCTATGTGTGGCTCTAACTGCCCATCTCTTTCCTTTTTCCTGCTTTTCCTTTATTACAACACTTTCCAGAAATTGAGAAAAGAACTTGATGATCTTCTCCAAGAAAAAATCGAAAGCCCCCATCCCGTGGACTGGAATGACATCAAGTGCAGGGACACAGCAGTGCTGACAGCCATCATCGACCTGATCACCACGCAGGAGAACGAGGCCGTCAGGAACTTCGCGCCGCGCTTCCAGGGCGAGCGCTACAGCTGACACTGCCAGCCCAGGCACCTTGTGATGGCACTTGTTCAGCTAGAGGAACAGTTCTGTAGGGAGGCTGGTGATCTCCTCGTCCTGAGGAGCAGTTACTCGAGCTAGCTGGCAGTATGTGTATGTGCATGTGTTCTGTCTCGGTGTAGCTTCCTGAGGGACAGAAGGGCAGTTGTTGGATGGTGTAAGGTTCTTGTCCTGCTGTAGCTGTTTTCTTTGGGTTTTTTACCCAGCAGGTAACAGATATTTAAAAAACCTGCTAAAATACAGCTTAGTAATACCTAATTTTTTTTTCTTTTAATGGGGTGTGGTGAGTAATTATACTTGCTGTGTTATTCCAGCTTGCAGCAGTCTGCTCACCAGCACTTCCACAGAAGGTAATCACAGCTTAATTTAACTAAACTTAAAAACACTTGTTGAATTTGTATGGTGGGAGGAAACAATCTTCAGAAATTCTTCTCCTTTTCTGCATTTCATCCCATTCAATTAATCTTCCTTTGCTTTCTGTCCCCATCCATCATCACTACTGACTGAAAGTGCAGCTTGCTGAAAGCACGGTTGGATGGAAGTCACGTTGGGTTGTGTGTTAAGGTTTCATTGCATTCGAAGTTTTTTGGGTTTGTTTTTTTGTATTTTTTTAAGAAGTTCATGTATGGGTTATAGTATTCCATTAAGAGTCTTTCTTTGCAAGTCTTACTTCAACTGTTCTCAATGTTTTGAATGTTCTGTTTTGAATGGTCTCCAGTCATGGAAGATTATTTGAATGACAGTTTGTTAAGGATTTTGAGGTTGAGAAAGAAAAGCCTGGAAATACAACTTTTCTCCCTTCTTTGGTGTTTTGTTGGTTTAATTTTCTTTGCAAAAATGACCTTAATCATCAGGTTCAGGAGGATTTATGCTGTATTCTGAGGAAAGCAGAGCAGCTCAGGTGCCACAAGTCGAAGTTCCTGGCTATAAGGTGCTTTCCACTGGGCTGACAAGGGATGGAGGGTGCCAGGCTCCTCCTTGCCACTGCCAGCTGCACAAAACGTCCTTTACCCCACACTGGTGTGCAGTGGAGTCCTGAACAGGCACACAGAGGCACCTCCACTCCCTTGGAAATTTCATTTGGGCACCTGAGAGCCTTCTGTTGGCAACTTGTGTCCTGATCAGGGCAGTTACAGGAGGAAGGGAGCACATTCCAGAAAGCAGAGCTGATCTTACAGGGACAAACTCCCAGCTGCCTTCTGTCACTGCTGGGCTCCCAGCTAAAAAGGAGGTACTGCTGCAATGCCCCCCTCCAGTTAAAAAGAGTTGTGTCTGTGTGTCTGTTCAGAGTGCACAGGGGCTGATGAAGGGCTTGAGTTTTCAGATTATTTCCTTTGCAATAGCAGTGCTAATAGAGAAGTCAGTGCTAAAAATGACTATTTTTTGCTAATGGAAATAGTGTGGAGGGGCTGAGCTCCCTGCCCTGGCTCCAGGGACAGGAGGCTGGGGAGTTCACAGGTAAAGCTGAGTTTGGACTGGACACAAGAGAGCAGAGCTTCACTGGGGGAATGGACAGAGCCTGCAAGAGGCCCTGGAGAGGTGATGTTTAAAACCACTCAGGAACAGGATTTAACACTGGCTCAGCCCTGAGGGGTTGGACTGCACAGGGCTGAAGGTCCCTTCCAGCTGAACTGTGCTAAACTACAAGAAGCAGAGGGAACTGAAGACCTTTCCCATCTCCCTCTTAACGGTGTGTCAGCAAGGAGATGCTGTCCCAGGCCACTGCTCCAAGTCCAACAGGTAAATGGGATCTGTGACAGATGAGGTAGGACAGAGGATGGTGCTGTTTATCTTTACAGAACAGGAAAATCTAAAATGCCAATGTTTGCTGAAGAGATTTACTTTCTCTGACAAAAATTACATTATCAACTGGTGGCTTTATGGCATTTAAAACAAAATCAAAACTTTTTTTAGTAAGGATTTAAAAGCACTTTATTGATTGTTGTCCTATAAAATCATAGAAGTCTTTTAATTCCTGAAGAACTGTGTCCAACAATAGGAAAATGAAAAATGTCTTTACAAAACATTACAGCATTTTTTGAAAAACTAGGTATGAAAAATATATAGTGTATTAAAAAATCTGAATAAAATTAATGCCTGGATTTATACATTCAGCTACATGTTAAACATCCACATGTATACAGTAAAATTTGTTAAAACAGTCGCAGTGTTTTTACTATGTTAAATAAGTCTTTGTTCAATTTACAGTTTCTCTCATTACTATTTTATCAGTCCACTTATAAATTAATTTGTAAGGCTGTATAACCACTGTCACACTGTCCAGGTAAGTATTTTTGTACAAAATTCCTGCCTTCCTACTGTAGTTTAAATTATTAGAGCTACACATCTTTACAAACACTCAATTCACTCCCCACTCCAATCAGCACTGTGCAGGATAAAAACCAGCAGAGGCTGGGAAGGCAACAGGAAGAAAGCCTTGCTAGTACAAGTTGTCCCCTCATTTCTACACTGCTGAGTCAGCAGCTGGTCCTTACAAGGGAGGGTTTTTGTCACACACACTCTCACACCTCTCTGAACCTGCCCTGAACTCTGCTCAGCCTTGAGTGCATTTGTTCCCAGAGCAGTGAGTGCAGTTCATGTTCCATCACCGCTGCCCTGAAGCACTGAGTGAAGTGCAAGATCTCAGCAGACACCTGAGAAACCCAGAAAGCACTGCCCCCACTCCCAGCAGCTACTCTGCAGCAAAGTACCTGTGCTAGGATGGAGCAGCAGAGGGTGGTGCCTTTTCCTGGCTTTCAGAAATCCTTTGCCCCAGCAGAACCGGGAGCCGGTCTGAGCAGCCCCATGGAGGTGCAGCTGCAGCGTCCTGGAGAGGCAGTGCCAGCTGTGCCTGTGCCAGCTGTGCCAGCTGTGCCATCCCTGATTTGCCCGGAGAGGTAGGTCAGCCTTTACAGAGTCCAGAGCTGCTCACTGGAGCTCAGGTGCCACGGGGGTGCTGACACGAGGGGCAGTAACAGGGTCTGGGGCTGCAGCTCCTCAGCAGCAGGACACCCAGCACTGGGGCCCGGCCCCTACAGAATTCTGCTGCTGGAAACTTCAGATGCTCAAAAGGAGACAGAGCAAGAGGGCAAGGAGGCAGAGCTGTGCCCGAGACACTGCTGCACGGTGCTGCTGCTGGGGCTCAGCTGGAGCTGTCAGAGCAGGGACTGTGGGGCTCCAGGGTGCTGCTGCTGGGCTGTGGCTCTGCTGTGGCCCTGCTGTCCCCTGTCCAGCCGGGGTGAGCACCCGGCTACACGTTGGTTTCCAGCCCCAGCAGGCGGCCCATGCGCTCCATGTTCTTGTCCAGGGTGGCCCTGCAGGTAATCTCCCTGGCACACTCCGAGGGGAACCAGCCCCTCTGGCCGTCCCGCAGCCGCTCCCCCTCGTACCAGCCTGCGGGCAAGGACAACAGTGACACCCTGCAGCTGCCTCTGCCCCGGGCTGGGGGCACTGAGGCACAGTCTGCCCTTGCCTCGACTGGGAATCAAGCACCACTTTAGGATAGCTTTGGCAGATGTTTTTAATCCAGCCAGACTAGGTAAAAAATAGTATGTGCAAAGCATTGCACAATTTCACTATCTTTTTTGTCATTCAAATATAGTTTGAAGTAATGCTACAGTACAGTGACAGAACCTCTGATTGCACAGGTAACTGAGCAACAGCAAGTTAGAATTTAGTCCCTCAAGTACTGACAGTGTTCTGCATCCCTGAGCCAGCACTTGCTGCTATCAGTGCAGTTGTGGGCAGGTCTGGGCAAGAACCACAGTGATCTTGGGATACTTGATCCTGTGGCAAACCTCAGCAACCACGCTGTGCCAGAGCTGTGTCAGGAAAGCCCAGGCCATGGCACGACAGACCGGGGCTGTTTCTCTTGGACAACCTGGCACTCACTAGAATGTCTGAGCTCTGTGGTTTTAGACAAATTCAATTTCCTATTTGTGGACACCTCCCATGCCAAAACTGGCCAGCAGCCATGTTCTACAGCTGGTTACATCTGCTGCTTCCTTTAGAAACCTGAACCCAGGTGCTCACGTTTTCCTTGGAAGCTGAACTTGTACGCACTGCAGCCCTGTACAAGTTTTTGTAGCTGGATCCCCCTGCAGAGCTGACAAATGGTTACTGACAGCAAAATCCTCACTCACCGTCATTCACCTTTTGATAAACCAAAACGACATCAGCGACTTGCAGAGAGAGCTCATCGGCCTGCTTGGCTGTGTAGGTTCTGATGATCTCCACCTGGGCCAGGGCTGGGGAAGGAGCGAGCCAGGCTCAGTTAAACCAGTCACAGGGCAGGGGCTGTTACTACAACACATCACCATTTATTTACAGAATTTCCACTTCACACTTTCCCCCGGCTTAGGGAGCCTGCAGCCCAGCCCAGCCCAGCCCCACCGAGGGCAGTGGTGCTGCCCTGCAGAGCACCACGGGTCCCCAGTGTGACTTACTGGTCCTGTCCGTGTGGTGCCCCTCGCTGTCCTGGCCCAGCGCCGTGATCCAGCGGGCTCTGTCACTCCTGCAAAGCACAACCCTGTGTCCCAACTCATGCCCTGGACAGTGGTCAGCTCTGAGGCTGTCCCTGCTCCTTCCAGTGCCAGCACCTCTCCCTTCAGCACCTGGGAGTAACTCCTGTGTATCACCACCCCTGTGTATGCTCTGCCTTCCTCACAGGGCGATAGAAAGGTCTCACCCAACACTGGTGCCTTTCTCCTTGGGACCCACCTGCCACAGGAGATGGTGAAACACAATCAAACTGTGCTGGAAATCTTGGGGTCAATGGAAACATTTCAGCTTCACCTGCACAAAACTATTCTGAAGGCACACTCAACTCTCTGAACTGTTTGGCCTTGGAAATTCCCTTCCCATCCTTCTCAAAAGATAAGACTATAAAAATAGGTAACTTAAAATACAAGAATTCTTTTCAGACTCTTGCTCTGAGTGATGATCAGCTGGACTGCTATTTATACTGCAAACAGCACAGAACAAATCAGTAATAAGTCTGCAGAACAAAATGTCTTTTCATACAAAGCCCAGACAACTAAAAATGTCCTGCATTTTTTCCCCAATAAAATTGCATTTCCAAACAAGTCTGAATCATCTCCTGCTTTCATAATGCGATCTTTAATAGAAAGCACTGATGATCTTCAGTTCCTTTCACGGTTATTCTAAACTTTGAAAGCCAACCTAAAACTATCGATTTTTCCAGGCAGGGACATGTCTGGAGCACTCCCTTTCATGTCTCTGTCCTGCCTCCAGCTTCCCCCAGAACAAATGAACTCTTTCATTGCGGGGAGGCTGTGGAAGTTGATGGCACATGCACATCCCAGAGCAAGCATTGGCTGCTGCTGGCTTCCGAGGCAGGACACTCCTCAGGGTGCCCGGGAGAGCAAGGAGCAGAGCTGCTCCTGCTCTGACCCTGCCCTGCTGCCACTGCTGCGCCATCCCAGTGCCCTGCTCAGGGCCCAGAGCACCCTGGGTGTGCCTGGGGACACTCCTGTGCCACACCGCACTGACACACACCTGGCAGCACTGACCCTCACACGAGGGACTGACACACCTGGCAGCACTGACCTGGGGTCAGGGACTGACACACCTGGCAGCACTGACCTCACGTGAGTGACCCAGCACAGGGCTGGCCCCGCACACGAACCTGCCCGAGGCACAGCTACACTGATCTCTGCAGGCAGTTTGAATTAATAAACCAGAATAAGTACTAGAAATAAACAAATCAATAACTATTTACTACTTTGGGCAGGGCGGGAGGAGCTGCCGTGGAGGCAGTCAGGTGAAGAGCCCCCAGGTAAGGGTACTCACTGCGTCTCTGCGCCCAGCAGCATCTGCACCCTGTCCCCGGCGTGGTTGCTGAGCAGCACGAGCCGGAAGAGGTGGGGGCCCGGGGCGCGGCCCGAGTGCAGCATCCCGGCCGGGCCCCGGGCCGGAGAGCAGCCGGGCTCCTCCGCGGCGCACGGCAGCACCTGCAGCTGCTCCCGCAGCGAGTGCTCCGTCACGTTGTAGCTCTCCTCGCTGCCGGGAAGGAACGAGAGCAGGGCTGAGGTTCCCACTCCGCTGCTCTGGAGCGACCCCAGCCCCAGGCACAGCCAGCAGCAGGGACAGCTCTGACAGCAGCTCCCAGGGGTGACCAGCCTCTGCCAGAGGTCTGGTGGGACACACAGCCCCAGCTCAGTGCCAGCGCACATTGTCACCGGGGTTCTGGAAATAAACACTGACATGGCCCTGGGCTCTTTCTGCACAACAACTTTGTGCACTCCCAAAGGATGGACACAGAACGTAATCCTAATGGAACCAACCCTGCTCAGATGCTCTGAACCAGGGAAAGGGTTGGGTGGGGCTTGGTTTTTTTGAGTAAGTTTGGGGATTTTTGCGGGTGTATTTTTTTTTAAAAGAAGCCAGTTCAGTATTTTAGTCTGAATAACTCCTTAGCCAAGGGAAGAACTGGCAATCCCTGCTGGGAGTGCTGCCATCACTACATGGGAATCTTGAGTCTGAAAAAGAAATGTGTCTATGTATTTGTGCAGAGAATAATAAATGTATTTCTTATGAATTAATCAACTAGTCTGTACATGTGCACAGCTAATCATAACAGCACTTCTTACTAATTAATCAGCAGATAAATCTCTACAAATCCTTCCCACTCCTCACTTCCATCCCACAAACCCGCTGGATCAGACTCCTGCTGAAGGGAATCCAAACACATGTGAAAGCTGTCAGTGCATTTCCCACGGGCCCTCTGGGGTCAATACTGCACTGATTTCCCCACCCTTCAGCTCATGCCCTAACCCAGCCCACAGCCAGGTCTGTGTGAGCAGGACTGGGCTGACCCTTCCCGAGCACCAGCCACGTCTCCTGGCCTTGCCCCACCATCCCCACACCTGCTGGCACTGGCTGCTCCTCTCAGGACACTGCAGTAGTGCTTGGCAAGTATTATGTCATTTTTAATGTTTAAAAAAAATCAGATTGTGTTTACACACAGCAGGGCTACAAGGACAACTGGCAGAAGAAACATTCCCAATAAACTAAAATCTGGACAGTGGGGAAAAGCGGGTTTTCATCCCTCTTCAAAGCCTTGCACACATCCCAAGTCCTCGTGTCCCCTCCTGCCCAGTCTTGGGGGGCAGCCCTGTGACTGGAGAGCCCTTTGGCTCCATCCCCTGCAGCACCTGCAGCAGGTCAGAGCCACAGCTCCCCAGCAGTTCCAGCACATGGAGACGGGGCAGAGCTGGGCAGAGGCTGCTGAGCCAGGGCTGGAGATGAACTCTGGGTGCAGCCCCAAGTGCAGCCTCAGAAATGCCCCTTTTTAGCACCAAGCGAGGTGTCCTAGTGCGATGTTAAGGATCTTCTGAGATTCAGCTGCTTGAGGAAAACCAGAAACATCCAAGCCCAAGTAGCAGCAAACATTTCTGTGCTGCTGTGGTGCCATGGCAACACCGTGGGTGGGAGCAGCTCAGCAGAGCCCCAGCACTGCTAACGAGCTCTGCCACTCGGGCACAGGGAGCCTCATGCTCCTGCAATCGTGGGAAGCGTGCAGGGAAAGGACATTCCCAGCACTTTATCCTTCCCAAACTTGTCTTTGCTGGGGCATAAAGAATCATCTTTTTAATTTGTCTGACAATTTGGAATCTTAACTGCGTTTGCTGAAAGTAAATCCTGTTTAACAAGCAGTTACTTGTTATTTGTAACCCATGACAGAGGCTCAAGTAACTCCTGAACTCATTCCACAGCCATGGATCATGTTAAAAGTCACTGTGATTCAAGGACTGAACACAAAAGCAGTTTTATACTGGTGAAGCTCTTACCTCTTTTTCTTGGTGATGATGAGGACATCATTGAAGAGGAAGAAGTACACCTGCTGCTTAGAGGTTCTTTTGGAAAAAAGTCCAGTGTCTTCTACATAGGCTGTTAATTCACCCCTTTTCACCAGCCACCGTGAAGAGGAAACCAATGGAAATGGCTGCAAGGCAAGAAAATCACGTTGTAATCCTTCCAAATTAGAGTATTTTTAAATAACAGACAACAGAGTACAATCCATTTGGGAAAAATGCTTGAATAAACTCAAAGCTCAGAGATTACAGACACTAAGAGGTTACCAAAGTTTAAGGGGCTGCATCATTGCTACAACACACAGGTAGCAGCTGCAAATACCTGGGAATCACTCGGGCACCTGTCATCACTGCTCATGGAAAAGAGAAATGAGCAGACCTGACTGATCCCACTGGGGCTGGGACAGACTGACACCTCCCGAGGGCACAGAGCAAAGCCTGACTTCAGGAATGTGTCTGCAGGGTGAGAGCAGCTCCTGCAGCACGAGGGGGCATGGCAGTGTCCTCGGTACCTCGCAGCCCTTCCTGGGGCAGAGGGGGCAGTCCTGTGCCGGTGTCACCGGGAAGGGCAGCAGGGCTGTGCAGGTACAACCTCCTTCCTCCCACACCTCTGATGTGCCCTCCCTTGGCAGCACAACGGGAAGGGTTCCATGGCCTTGCTGTTCTGCTGGGGCTCCTGAAGTGTCTCAGCTACCTGTCAGGCTTCACTGAAAAGGGCTAACGAGGGATCCTGCAGCTCCTCTCTTCATCCAGCTCATGTGGGTGCAGCAGGAGCTCCCTTCTCCCTAGGAGAGGGCCAACACCTGCAGCAGCTGCACCAAAGCCCCAGAGGATCTGAGCTGCCTGATGTGCAGACTTGTCTTTATTAATCCAAATGATTCCCAGGAGACACAGGAATTTTGTTCTTCTGGGGCAGGAAGATGGAGGGAGGTGTGGGACTGTCCTGGTCACCCAGACCCTCTGAGGCTGCCCCGAGACAGATGCTCCATGCTAATGAGCACAGCTGCCTGCTCTCCCCTCATTCAAGCACCTCTCACATACTTTTGAAAAACACCCCTTCATGCAGTTGTCAGCTGCCTTCCCCATTCTGCATGAGTTGGCTTTTTGTACCTGTTAATCCTGGCCAACTGCAGCCTGCCTGTGCCTGCTGAGCCAAACCAAAAACCCAGCACTGGACTGAGCCCTCACTGCTGCAAGAACAAACACTCACTCCCTAAACAAACCCCCACAACTTCTCTTGTGCAAAAGATGCAAAATTTAAGAAAAAAAACTGCTGAAACTTAATTACAAATTGAATTCCACAGCAGAGCCATGCACACAAGCAACATGAGATTTGAGTCACTTCCCTTGGGCTCCCATGAAGCTCTCCACAGTTACATCTAACAAAAAAATAAACAAATCTCCAAAACTCCGTGAGACTGGGCAAGGACAGAAATACTTTAACTAATTTATAATGGCTATAAAACAGAATTACAGTCCCATGATGACTGGTTTACAAGCAAAAAATACTTTTAAAAGTTCTATTTGAGGATGAACAAAAAATTCCTCTAATCTGTACTCCAAGTGAGTTCATCCTATTTTCCTAATTGACTCTCTTCCAGAGATAGCTTGGTTTTACTTTAATTTTTCCTTAATTGCCAAAGGAGCAAATCACGTGCACCACGTCCCTGCTGCAGAAATGAGACTCTCAGAAGTGAAAAATGCATTTAACCAGAGTGGGGCTTCCCTGCCCTGGGGCCTGAGGGGCTGCAGGGCTGGGGCTTGGATGCACAGAGGGAAATCTCACACAAAAGCACAGGAAGACAAAGCCCCCTGAAAATGCTGCTGCTGCCAAGGCACCAGCACAAGCTGCTCCAGGGCAGGTGGGGTCACCCAGGACCACAGAGGGACACAGAGGGATGGGCAGGGACACAGGACCCCAGGCCCTGAGGGACTCCTGGATCTCAGGGAACCATGGAGCAGCTCAGCCCCCACACTGGGCTGGACTCACTGAAGACTTGAGTCTGGTACCACCCATCAGGAAATGCTCTGCTGTCACTTGCCCAGAAGTGTTGTATTTGTTGTTGCTGTTGCTATAAGCAAATATTATTACTATCAATTTTTAGACAAAATTTGAGAATTAAAATACTTTAGGCAAGTTGAAAATGTCTTTTTGGAGGCAGCATTTGCCCCGAGCCTGACCCAGAGCTTTTCAAGAGCTGTGCTTTTAAAACCATGAACCAATCTCCACATGCCTGATAATGAAAATATCTTCTCCCAGAAGAATCCCCATTGTGTAATGGTATCAGATATCAATGATAGAAATGGGATTGTAGCAAATATTAAACAGAAACAATAAATTTACTTGAAGAAAATCCAATAAACCTCCCCTACCTATGACTGAGTCTGCTGTTGTTTCCTACAGAAGAGTGATTGTACAGGAAGTTTTTTATAGAAACCTGTCCTTGGGGGGAAGGACAAACACCCCCTGGATCCTTCCCTGGTGTGGAAGTGTTTTCCCAGGTACACCTTTCTCATTGGATACATAAGAAAATTTCAGCAGTGAGCAGCAGCCTTTGGCCTTTCTCCTAATGCCAGAATCTTCACAGCAGCTTTACCTTTACAGCAAATACTCTACACTCAGTATTTATTCAAAATCCCTTGTGCTGTAGCATCACCTTCTACTAAAATTAAAATACTTGACCAAAAGTTTTCATTTCTGTTGTGCCACAAGAGATCACTTTGCAAGAATCACTGTGGGATATGACCATGCTGGTCTGCTGTTCACTGCCTGGCTGGTCAGGACCATGCTCCCCATCCTACCTTGATTTTGAATTCCAGCTGGGAGTTAATGGTGTACATCATCTCCGTCCTCTCCATCTTGCGGGCGCCCTCGTTGCACAGACGCACGAGCTGCAAAGGGACAGGGCTGAGCAGGGACCATGGCCTCCAGCCTCCTGCACCAACTGCTGCTCCCTTGGGAGGGCCCTGCAGGGCACAGGGCCCAGCAGGGGCACAGGGCCCAGCAGGGACACGTCCACCTCAATGTGGCGTTTGCAGGGCTGGCTCTGTGGCTGCACTGCTCCCAGACCCCCCTCGCCCCTGTGATCCCACAGGAACCCCATAATTTGTGATTCTCCAGGGGGAACAAAGGTTCAGCCCAAGTTCTGGCTGAGCAGGGCCCAGGCTGATGATCAGCTCCACACACACACCCTCCTCCAGCTGCACTAACTTCCCACACTGCTCCCCCACAAACCCAGAATCACCACAGCATGGTCCAGTTTGGGAGCTTTTCCCAAGTAGGAGCCAGTAATTCTGCACAGACCCAATCCCCAGTGCCCTTCCTTAAATACAACAATGCAGAGCCTCACACTTCAGTGCTTTTCCCACCTGCATTATTTATGCATGGAAAACATCCATTTTTCCCTGCAAGTACTCAGGAATGACTTGAGAACATACCTTGCTGACTTCTTTCAGAGCCTGCTTGCAGTTCTCGTATTTTGCTGAATCCTTGGGGGTTTTCTGGCAAATAGTCTGGAACAAAACATCAGTTAGCTCAGAGGACCAAGCAGCACAGACTGCAACCCAGAGGTTTCACATCTTAACTGAAATCCAGAAGCTGAATCACAGCTGTGGGCTGAGATAAAGAGGGAACACCGGTCACTTGGTCACACTAAGGAGTGCCTCCCTGCAAAGGTTTGGGGACAAAGTGATGCTTTGCACCTCTCCAGAAGAGGTTTATACAACCATCTCCAAACAGAAAACAAAACTGAAAGAGTGGGAAATAAAATGCTTCATTTGATTGTTTAGATTACTTCAGCCAAAGAGGGGAAGGAGGTTAGGGAAAAAAAAACAAGAAGGAGAAGGCAACCCTAGTGACACTCTGCAGGAATACTGGATTATTATTCCATTTTTTACACAGAAATGTACTGCAGAGAAGACAGAATTCAATGTCCATGAATGAACTAACTGTCCAGGTGATCAAATTACTCAGTGCTCAATTTAAAAATACACAGAACAAAATTATCAGTTCTGTTTCTGGCTCCTATCAGTGCTGCAATCTGAGCCTGATCACAATCTGCACTCCTGCTGGTGGTCCAGCTCCTGCCTTAGTCCTGGCACCTTAACTGAAATACCCCAACTCCTGGTGTGAATTCTGCCTGACAGACACTCCCTTCACTTCCATCGCTCTCTCTGGGTCCCTGGTCACTGCACAGGGAGGGACAGCTCAGTGCCACTCACACACAGCTCCCTTGGGAATGGAGTCCACCCTTCAGGTTCCCAAGAGTATCCCTGCCCAAGGGCCCTCACCCATCCTACACCACAGCAGGCCTTGTTTTTCTGCTGCAGGGTTCATTTCTATCCTAGCACTACATACAATTCCTGAGCTGGTTCCTCCTGAGTTTCAGAGCCATTCTGACCCTTTACTGTACAATTTTCCCACTAGAACATGCAAGTATTTAACTTGTGAATGGGGGAGCAGGAGGGCCCAGTCCCAGTCAGCAAAGAAATGCAGCAGGAATCCACAATCCACAGGCCAGGAGTGGCGTAAGGGAGAAGGCATGAAGAGACTGGAGAGAACCAGAACTGAGTGTGAGAGAACATTAACACTGCGAGAACAAGCAGCAAGGAAAGAGGGACGTGGGTGCTCACATCCATCAGCAAGGGGAGACGAGTGACTCTCTGCATGGGGAGGATGAGGAAGGAGATCATGGGCAAGTTCCGGCAATCCTCGTGGGACTCGATCCGGGACAGCACCTCCTTAAACGCTGGGTTTGTGGCTCTGGGGAGAAGCAGGATGCAAGAATTCAATGGTATGTTTACCAAACGATTGTGCAAGTTGCCACATTTTAAATAAACCATTATTTTATAAAAAGGAAGTGTGATTTGCAGTAGTCAGACCACCCCAACCTTCAGCTTTGTTCCCTCAGATCCAGCAGCCCCAGCACTGACACTAAACCTCAGGAGGTGCCACCCCAATGGGGAGGGCAGAGCCAGGTGTGCCACACGGGGCCACTGTCACACTGAACTGATGGAGGAAGGGGCATGTGAGCCACGGCTGGGCAGGAGGGGCAGTGCAGCTCCCGGAGAGGCCCCAGTCCCCCAGAGGAAGGCAGCCAGCAGGGCCAGCGTGGCTGGCAGCCCCAGGTCTGCCCTGCCGAGGGAGCCGTGCTCACAGCAGTCTCTGCAGGGTGCGCTGCTGGTACACCTCGTTGGTGCAGTACTTCACGTAGGGGTCGAAGCTGCAGCCCGCGTGCCGCGCCACGATGTCGCTGATGTCATCGATGAAAACGCTGCTCTGGTGCCTGGCCTCCAGCTCCTCAAAGAACCTGCGGGTTAAAGCCAACTGCTCACTGTTACATGCAAACAGCACCTTCCTCTCACAACACTCCCCTGACACAAGGCAGTTACCACCCGATGCCAGCCGGGCTGGCTGTGACAGGGCAAGGCCACCCCTCCTGTGGCAGGGCAGCGAGAGCAGAGCTGGCAGGACACGGGCCAGGACACGGGCCCACGGCTGCTGCTGGCCCCTGGCAGCTCAGCAGCAGCGCTGGCACAGGCACTTCCCACTCTCCCACTGCCACAACCAAGCAGCATCCCTGAGCTGGTCAGACCAGAATTTCCAGAAACAGGGTTGGAAAAGAAATGAAACTAGTTCATACACCCATGAACACATTTCCTCTTGCAATTAAAGGCAGCACAGCACCAGAAGTGCTCGATGGAGTACAGGTATGTGTGGCTGCTGGGCCAAGGACAAAGCCATGTGGTGGAGCAGGACATGGTGCTCCACATGCTGCAGTCCTCCCCTGGAACCAAACACTAGAAACACTGAAAAAGGGCACAGAACCCAAAACCCTGAGCTGGCTTTTCTCCTAAGCATGCTTGTTCTGACAACTTCCCTGTTGTCTGTCTCAATCCCACATGTGAGTCTCTGGCCACTGGACACCTCCCACTGCTTTCTGCGCTCCCAACGTTCCCAAAGCACAGGCCTTGATTTCCATGATGCTCACTGTAATTCCTCACTGTAATTCCCCACTGTTTGGTGTGGAACAGTCACAGATCAGCTCTGCAGGTCACCCCTCACACATAAAAAGCTGTCCTGATTGAAGCCTCTGTACATCAGCATTCACTGCAAGAATCCTCAACTCCCTGGAGTCAACAAGTTCATACAAAAATTCTCATTCAGCACAGAAAACATTAAGGAAATACTTAGAATAGATTAATCTCCAGTATTTTGAAATCTGCTTTATTTCATTTCAGCCCTTTATTCAATTTTTCAATCACTAACAGTGGCTCTTTAAATCTGCCGCCTTTTTCAAGCAATGCTCTCCAGAGTTTGCTTTAGGAACACACCTCACACACGTGAGAGGAGCAGAACAGGATGAGCAGCAGCTGATCGTGTGCAGCAACAGGGCTTAACTGGATTAAGGCACTGTCCAGGTGTGCCTAGGAGCAGCTGCTGCACGGAGTGCCTGCCAGGCTCTCACTGGGTCAGCCAGGTGGATTCTGCTCTGGTTTTGGGCTCTGTTTTTGTGACGTTCTGACACAGTAACTGCAGATGGACTGGCTGAGAAACAGGGCTCTGCCTGCAAGGGCTGAGCAGGATTTGTTACAGCCCTGTCACTGCTGAGCCCCCCAGCACCTCCTGGCCCCCAGGCAGCCTCCTGCAAGGCACAGCACACGGTGAGCTGTCACAGACTTGTTCTGTGCTCTGCATTTGGGTTTAGTGCCAGGACCGGCCCCTAGGGGCACATAAATAATAAAATTACAGAAAAAAGAGCCTGTAAGTGTGGAGTCTGCAGTGTCTCAGGAGCCACAGCAGAGCCCCATCCCACACTGGGATTTGTTTCTCTCTGCTCAGACATGTTTATGGCTGGGAGAACCTCCCACTGCTGCCAATTCACTTTGCTCAGGAAATGAGGAAATCCAACATTTCCTGCTGTGTTATGGCACACTGACAAGGTGTTGGACCCTGCTGGGCCACAACTTCCACCTTCAGAATTTATCTGGTGCTTCATCAGTGACATCATCAGAGACAGTCCCTGTAAGAACAGCAAAGATCTGGGAGAGCAGAAGACAGAAAAAAAAAATAAAAAAGGGAAAAGAGGGACAAAGAGGAGCAGTATATCAAAGTCCCATCTCCCAATATGTCCCGTAAGGAAATCCTGCACCAAAGCTTGAATCAAAAGCTGTAGTTTTCCATATCCAATCTGCTAATTATTAGATACAATCAGTGAACCAGACACATCATAAACCCTTTCACTTACAATTTTAGGACAGATTCTGCCATAAAGCTCAGGACTGAGGGATGGAATGATGCCATTCAATTTAACCAACAAGGAATTTGCTGTGATATGTGCAGCTATTTTTGCTGAATGTCAGAAGGATTTATTTCAAACATCTCTTTGTTAAATCCAGGACTTTTCTGGTTAAAGTTAGATCCAATTCAGAGAAAGTCAAACAGCACTGCAGGACAGAACTTTATTTCCTTCATCTTGTCCTTACAGTGTTTAAAAGAACCATCCACTCTGCAACACTCCTGAAGGCCGAGGGCCAAATTCAGAAATGCAGGTTTAGTTCCAGGGTGCTGCAGCCACCACCAGTGGAGGGGCAGCAAGCAGAATTCAGCCTCTTGCTCCTGGAGACAGGGGCCCTGAAGTAACAATGCCACCTTGAGATAACTTCAGCTAGAGGCAACAAAGATTTCTGATTAACCTCTTCAAATCTGAACCTTCTCATCAGGAAGAGAATCTGAACATCTGCAACATTATTGTTATTTAGGGAAGGGGAGGGGGATTTCAAATAGTAAAAATAGGAAAAATGGTCTTATTTCCATAGAATTTTTATGCTGAATCAAAATCAGTTTTTACAAAATAAAAAAGGCTGGGGAGAGAGTGATTAAAGTGCAGAAGTGAAATCAGTTTGTTTGGCGAGTTCCCCCAGCCTCAATAATGGAAACCAACACAGAGCTACACACACAAATGGAACACCTGAGGCTGCAGACTCACAGCCCATAAAAGGCCCTTGCTGGGCAGCAGCAGGAGCAGCTCAGAGCCCGGGCAGGAGCAGCTGGCCCTGCAGCATTCTGCTCCCTCTGCAGCAGCTCGGGGCCAGCCCACGCCCCAGGCCCATCCCACTGGGGAGCCACTCGCCTCCCCAGCCATTTACAGTGCCCTGGCACAAATCCAGGGCACTGGGAGGCCACAGCAGCCCCGCCAAGATATCCTGCTCCAGAGAGATTCCCCAGACAGCAGGAAGGTGCCCACAGCACCTGGGCACAGGTGGGACCTGCAGGGTAACAAATGTCCATTCAGGCAATAAACACACCCAGGGACACTGGGACAATAAAATGGGAATGTCTCTGACAAGCCAGGAACCCATCACAACCAGAGTGTTCACAGCCTGTGATTCTGTGACTAACACAGAGTTTACAACCTGACAGAACCTGTTAAAATGGTTTTGTTAGGATCTTTTCTGCTAATGCTGCTCTGGGATCACAGAACCGTTTGCCCTTTGCTGGCCTAATGGCACAGAAGGCACAAATGCTAAATCTTCCCTTCTTCCTATAAACTTGGGGATCTGGCCCTGCAGACCAGCTGCTCCTGAAGACACCTCCCTGATTTCCCTGGGACTGCTCTTTCCCCAGAGAGGCTCCTGGGGAGCTGTCCGACCTGACACTGATTTCTCAGGCTGCATTCCTGGCTCACTCCCGGCTGAGCTGCTCCCTGGCATCCCCACAGCCCCAGCAGCTCTTGGCCAGGGCTGCACTGCTGAGGGTTTGGGCTGCAGCACATCACACGAGGCCAGTGAAGTCCAGCTCTCTGAGGCCACCTTCCAGGAGCTTTCCATGCACACACAGAGCTTGTGCTGCCCAGGTTATCCATCTCCACTCCCCGCGGTCAGAGACTCCAGGGAGCTCCCAAAAGCAGAGACAGTCTCTGCTCTCTGCATTCTGCTTCCAACAAAGACAGCTTTGTTCCCAGGAATGCCCTGTCAGGCATGACAGGCCTATCCTGGTGTTATTGGAGAGTTTCCATGTTCCAAGCCACAGTTCCTAGACAGAGGCTTGAAGCAGTTTCAACTAAAGGTTTTTTAGAAAGCATTTTTATCAGCTCAGGTTCTTCAGCTCACCAAACTTTGTCCAAGCAACCAAAACCACTGGTAACTATTCTCATACTCAGGTTTTGTACTAAGCAAAGGCTGCTTAAGAAAACAGCAGGTTGGGACAGATGCTCCATTTTACACAAAAGGGTGGCTTTTGCTACTTTGAAACACCTTGAAAATAGAAAGCAGAAGTTTGGAGATACCAAGCTGGTATCTGGTTTAAAATCACTTCCACTGTTTACACAAATGACGTTGCTCAAAGCCAGCACAAAGTTTTGTTTTAGTTTAACAGTATTGCAAAACTCAGGAGATAAATTATGTTTTCATTTAAGTTTAAAAGGAGTTATGACTTCTGATTTTACCCCAAGTCATAAAAACCCAAGCTCTTAAACCATGAGACTTCACAGACAAGAAAGAATAAGATTATAATTCTAGGCCAGTGTGGTATTTTTCCATTCTTTTTTTTCCTCTCCCTCCCACTTCCTTTGAAGACTATTACTCAAAAGGGATCTTAGAGTTCCCCTAAGAGTACTGCTCTCCCCACCCCCATTGTCCTCTACCTTCACCTCACATTTTGTGTAAGGAGTACCTGTGAAAGGAACTTTTCCTTGAAAATAAAGCTTTTGATAAGCTGCACTCCCTGACACCAGTGCTGCCAGACTGGGGTGGCTCTGGGGCCACACAACTCCCAACCTCAGGCAGAAGACCTCAACTGCAAGAGACAAAGAAAGGGGATTGGGAGGGAGGAAGGAAGGATCCCCAGCCAAACCTAAACGTTCTCCTGCTCTGTAGCTCCTAAACTGGGTTTGCACTTGACACAGCACATCAGCCTCCAAAAAACAAGATCTTGTTGCTGCATGAACTTCAGCAGACAAACTGCTGCACAACAGATGTCAAATTCCACAGACTTTGTGGTGTCTCAGAGAAAAAAGCCAAGAAATTACTTTACTGTGGCTGGAGACATGGACCTTCACAAGTTCCACCAAGGTAAAAGAGGATTTAATGCTAAAGAATTCACAAAGGGGACAAAAGAAGGGGGAACGAAATAAAAAACTATTCAGAATCCTTGTCAACCTTCAGCCCCCCTTCTGAAAGGAGGCCAATATTTCTCTGTTCCACAGGTAAAGAGATCCATGTAAATGTGCACAGGGCTACAGCTGTGACCACCCAGCACCTTCAGGAGGCCAGGAGCCACTGTGCTCCCTTCAGACTGCAAATCAGGGACAGAAAAAGCAACACAGACATTCTGGTGCTCTAGGTATGTGGAACACATAATCCACCTGCTGCTGGGAACAGAACAAATTGCAAGGAAGCAAAGCCACATCCAGCAACTTTTTGGTGTGAAGAGAGTGTGAAGCACTCTGAGAGCACATACATATGCATGTCCTGGATTAAATAACACTGGCAGTAATCACCAGTCACAACAAGGCTTGTATCATGTAGGATCTGCCATTTCCTCCTCTTCAGGCACTATCTGCAGTGTCTGTTTCCCTTGCTCCAGACTGAAGGAATGTGCCCAAAGCAGCAGCAGAGCAGCTGCTCCCCGTGGCAGCAGAGCCAGGTCCTGGAGCTCACAGGGGTGACAGGGGTGACAGTCCCAGAGCACAGCCAGGCCTCAGGACAGCACCCTCTGCACCAGCTGGCACGAGCCAGCTCTCCAGGGCAAGCACGAAACTCCAGCTCAAATCCAACAGCTCAGCAGGGCAGGCTAAGCTTTATTTGATACCCCGCAAGGACCAGGGCTGAGTGCCTGGCCAGCATTTAGCCCAGAACTGTTTAGATTTGAAGGATGCTGATTCCCACTACGATTCACTCTGTGCTTTCCTTCCCTCCCCATTTGCAGAGACACAAATCCCAGGCCAGCCCCGCTCACACTCCTGTGCAGATCTCTGCCACCTGTATTTTCCATCTTCAAACCAGCAGGAAGAAATGCTCACCACTCAAATGGTTCACTCTGCATCCAAAAAGAAACCTGCTGCTATGTTTGAGGCTGCACAGCTCTGTTAAATACAGAAATGCCACACTTACTTTTTGCTTGCTTCATAAACATCCGTGATGTTGGAGAAGAGGTGGTGGCTCTCTGTTTTGGTCATTGTGAGGCTCAGTTCCCTGGAATTTTTAAACATCCGGATCAGAATCTCCAGGCTCAGCAAATAGGAGTGCTCAGAAGATATCACCTCAAATATTGCCTGCAAAGTGAAGGGGGAAGAGAAAAGACTTACTAGTGACTGGGCTTCTTTCCTTAAAAACAAAAAGAAAATGTTGAGCAGGGGTGCAAAGCAAAGTTTTGGATGTCAGCTAGAGATTATGACTTAAATATTCATCTCTATAATAGTTACATCATTAATTAGAAATAAGTGATTTAATACTAGAAACAGTCTTTGTTAACAAGTCTACAGTCAGAGTTTTCAATGCAACTGCAAACCAAGAGTTTGAAGAGAATTTAACTCTAAAAAGCAATTTAAAGAACAGATAAAGAATAAATTATAAAGCAGTTTAAAAGAAATACAGCAAAAGCATGAATTGGTAATATAACTGCAGTTTAAAAATATTTATTTAGGCTCCCACTGAAAGAACTGGCCTCTAAAATTCAAATTGAAAACCCTCAGGCATGAAAACATTTTTTGCTAACATTGAAGACTTTACATTTAAAAGGAATCCAAAGAACTTGTTCTTTTTGAAAGGATGCAAATATGGCTCCAGGAAATACAGACTAAGGGCTCCTAAAGGACATCACTGAAATAGATGCTTTGGCTCAAAAGCTTCCCAGCAGGAGGGGGTGAGGTATGTCCTGGAGAGCAATGAAGACTGGGACAGACTCCCACGGCAGGTAATGCTGCAGGGTTCCTGGGCAAGCCCTGTTTGCTGTGGAAGGACACACCTGGGGAGGAGCTGCAGGGACACAGCCACCCTGGCCAGGCCAAGCTTGGCAAGCTCTCCCTGCCTGTGACACGGCCCTGCAGCGAGCACGGGGGTACAGCACATGTACAGGACACAAGGAGCACAGGGGAAAAGGGAGGTGGATAAAGAGGACACAAGGAGCACAGGGGAAAAGGGAGGAGAATGAAGAGGACACAAGGAGCACAGGGAAAAGGAAGGTGGATGAAGAGGACACAAGGAGCACAGGGGAAAAGGGAGGTGGATAAAGAGGACACAAGGAGCACAGGGAAAAGGAAGGTGGATAAAGAGGACACAAGGAGCAAAGGGCAAAGAGAGAGAACAGACAAGCATCCCAGTGCTGCTGCTGCCAGCAGGGAGGCTCCTGCCCTGCTCCAGGGCTCAGGGACCAGCTGGGCTCCAGCAGGCACACCATGTGCCCAGCACTGCTCACAGGGGCAGGTACAGCCCAGGGGCTCTGTAGAAGCTGCTCTTTGCTCCTCACTGCTATAGAAACTCCTGTGCCACATCCCCCCTCTGTGAGCTGGAGGTCACTGTCACCCCTTCCCCAGCACAGCAGCGACCCTGGTGCTGCCAGGCTGGAGCACCCCAGGAGCCCCTGGCATGGACACAGGCACCTCAGCACACACTGGCTCAGTTTTTCTCCCTGGGGAGAGAGGACACTTCACTGCAGGGCAGGAAGCCAAGCCATGAACGCTTATCAACAAGCAGAGCACTGAGCCAGGCAGGCAGTGCAGCCCCGAGCAGCCAGCCCCAAAGCACAGAGTACCTCCTGTCTCTTCCTTTCCTCCTGGCTGATGGCTTCTGACAGGCCGTTCTTCTTCACCTACAAAGACAAATCAATCAATATTTTTAAAACCTTTTGTGGGAAAATGTGATTAAAAAGAGAGACAGTACTACCAAAAGCTAGAAAGCAAAGCACCAAGGAGGGCCTGGCTCTACAGGAGTTCTAAACACAGTACTCAGATCAGGAGGGACACCAGGGCAAGGAAGGGAAAGGACCGCAGCACCAAAACACGTGGAAGGCCCTGCTCTCTTTGTGGAGCAGAGGCACATCACAGACACAAGACCCCACACCCATTTCTGTCAGCCTTCTCCAAAAGCTCCTAACATGCTATCAACAGCAGCTTTCTCTTCTTGCTCCACCTGCTCCCTGGAATTTTAAAGGACATATCATTCCTCATTTGATTCCTGCACAGCTGGCCCCACAATGCTGGACAGCAGGAACAAGGAGGTGCCACACTCTGGTCTGCACACCAAGGTACAGACTCACAGGTAAATGCCTGTGGAAGTTACATCAACATTCCAGTGTGGGAGCCACTAGCCTTTGGAACACAACCTCCAGATTCCCACAGCACCACAAGCAGACACTTCTGGATGCTGAGCAAGAACTGATTAAAGTACATTTTAATCAGGAGCCTGAAAGCTTCAGAGCATTCCTGAGGAAGTGCAATGGCACTGAAAGGTGCAATGTAACTTTTCTCTGGATGCAGTGGAAGAGCTTTCTAAAAATACGCCAACACAGGAAATACCTAGGAACACATCCCCCAGATCTCAGTGCTCCCTGTTAACACAGACACTGCCAGAGTGCAGGGAGCTCCACGGGCACCTGCTGAATTCGTGCTCCAAACTGCAGCTGGCACCCACGGGTGTGTCCCACAAGGTACACATGAATTCATGGCACATGAACTCACAGGCCAAGGCCCAGCCTCACACTCCCCATCAACAGCAACACTTCCACAAGACAGAAGCACAGATATGGACACTGCTTTGGCCATTTCTGCCAAAGAAAATACAATACCTAATTCTGATGTGTCCAAAATGTTTAAGCTGAAATAATCCATAAAAACATCACGTGATACTAAGCAAACAAAAAGTTCACTGAAGCTAAGCACATGACCAGAAGGAATGAAAGAGGCCCAACATCACTGTTACTAACACTGGACTGGCTTTTCCCCTGCAATGACTGGTTCAGCCATGGAGGTGAGAAGCAAAGGATCAAAGGAGGACAGGTGCACTCCAGTCAGGGACAAAAAGTTCAAAACATGGAGGTGCTGAAGGGGGGGACCTCATCAGGAATCTGTGAAGTGGCTGCACCAAACCCAAAGTGACCACAAGCCCCCTGATACAGGGAGGGAAAGGGGAGTCAGTGCAGACATCAGCCCTGAAGGCCCCAGACTGTCACACCAGGGACCTGGGCTGGTACCACGGAGGGCAGGCAGCCCTGGACAGTGACCCTGGAAGGTGGCAGCCCTGGACAGTGATCCTGGAAGGTGGCAGCCCTGGACAGTGGCCCTGGAAGTTGCCAGCCCTGGACAGTGGCCCTGTGAGTGACCCTGGAAGGTGGCAGCCCTGGACAGTGACCCTGGAAGGTGGCAGCCCTGGACAGTGACCCTGGAAGGTGGCAGCCCTGGACAGTGGTCCTGGAAGGTGCCAGCCCTGGAGAGTGGTCCAGGCTCCCTAAAGCCACTCACAGCCGCTGATTTTACCATGAATGAGAAACCAGTCACAACTAAGATGAACATGTGTGAACACACTTCAGGAAGACAGAAACACCCTTTTTTATTACTGTTCTCTTAAAGAATTTGACCACTCCATACCTGAAGGGCACTACCCCCAACCACAGCTGGTGGGAGCTGCAGCAGCTCCCCCAGGGCAGCCTCGTGCAGAGAGGGGATCGCTCTGCCCTGCCCTCCCAGCACAGCACTGCTCATCAACCCCAGAGACATCCTCCTCCTCCTTTCCTAGCATATGCTGAAACACAGGACTGACATTTTCCAGCTGACTTCCTGCAACAACTCCAGACTCACTTTTTAACTTCTTAATACACATTGACAGCATGTAATTTTTCCAGAGTTATAAACACAGTCACTGTGAGTATCACATTCCCAGATTTTGTTTTCTCCATGCACCACCTTCTCCTGTATATTCCCCACTTCCAATTTTGTAAATCAAATACAAACAGTGCACAAGTTTCTGTGTGAGGAGCAGTAAAGAACAAATTGGTTTCTGTAACTGAAGCACAGCAGAGAACAGTTCTCCTGAGATGGTCTTCATGCTATTTTTGTCTCAAAGCAAATTAATGTTTTGAAATTATCATTATTATTACTAAATAGCATTCCTTCCAAAATACCTCAGCTGTTGAACATTTAACTGTTAGTTTGCCCAGAAGGCAGAAAAAACAATTTGACTTCATTATAAACACTTCTTTTTTTGCAACATGAAGCCAATTAACTATATTTTAAGTATTTGATTGCTGGAAAAAGAAAATTAAAGCACATCTTTTCAAAACCACATTGTCTTGCCTTCTTTATAATTACTGAATCAGAGATTCACCTTTCAATACTTTAAACTGCAAAGGGTCATCAGCATCTCTAAAGACAGCTCTGCTAATCAGACCATCTAACCAGCCTTTGGGGATCTCCCCGAGGCTTAATCCCTCATTTATTGGGATATACAGAGCTGATGGTCAAATACTCCAGGTGATCTTGTCATGGCATAATCTCTCTAATGCTCAAGATGAGCATCTACAACATTCTACAAGTTACATTAACAAAAGACAACCCCAAACCCTTCATTTCAGAGATATCCCTCCAGAAGCCACAGAAATGATCCAAGAATAACCACATAAACACAGAATTTCAATGGTTCCTTCAGTCCCAAAATGACATGTACGAGAAAGTGCTGTGGCAGTAGCAGCTGCTCTCAGTAATTTGTCAGGCTGTGCGCAGGGAAGGCAGTGAGACTGCAGCCCTGACCAGAACAGCTGAATTTACTCTGTTTAACAATGCTGCCCTGCCAAAGCCCTGCCGACTCTTCCCAGCCTGTGCAGGGACAGCACAGCACCACCAGCTCTGCTCTCCTCTTCTCAAAATGCTTTCCATTAAACATCTGCACTCGAGTCAGCCTAAGAGCTGGTGTGCAGTGATTTGGAACAATTCAGCAGCAACTTGTTTGTAACTAACTGAAGGCTTTCTTTAGTATAATTCACCCCTCCAGTGAACTCACACAACCCTTTTTTTAATGAATCGGTAAAGTTGTGCCTTTGCCAAATACAGGACTGTAAAATGAACTTGGTTTTATTGTTTTTTATGTGAAACAAAGACCAGTAACTGACTGGAACCTCCATGTCGTTCTTGTGAGATGAAAAAGATGATGACAAATTTCAGCCAAGAACTCCAGCAGCAAGTAAGAGAAGACTGTGCTTCAGCCCATCCTGAGATCCTGCCTCTGGCCATACAAGGATCACAACTCACCACAGAGAGCTGGCTCCACGTCGACCTCAGGGGCTTATAGGGAAAAACAACCTTGTCATCCAACTTCTGCTCTTGGGGCTCACACTCTTCATCAGAATCTATGTCCAGAGCTTTTTCTTTATAGTTCTGATATAAAACAGCATTTTCTGTCAAATAACAACAGGATGTCAGTCATTGCTATAAAGTTAGTTTAGCTGCTCTCATAAAAATTTAAAGTAACATTTAAACAATGAAAATAACCAAAGTGTCACTGTGCTGGTCACTCTCCACCAGACAAAGATAGCAACTGATTTGGGCTGGACAATGGTGCAGTACAGTGACAATGGATCACTGTACCCAAAGATCCTCCCAGACCGAATTAAAGAACAGATGTGGCCTTTGTCAAGAAAAAAAAAATAGCAAACAATTTTTTCTTCCTTGGTTTGCTATACCCAGTTCTGTAATTAACCAGCAATTAGAAAATGGGATTGTGTCTCAGTGGAGCAGTCACTGATCTGCAGGTCTCACTATTTTCATGTCCAGGAAAAGCACACTGCCCACAGCAACCCTTATTCTGTCAACTCCGAATACTGTCTTGACATTTCACTGTTTCCCAGTTTCAGAGATAAGAGGTCAGAACTATTCCAAATAGAAAGTTAAAAGCCTGAGTAAGAACGAGACCTATGAACCTTAAGACCAAATACACCCCTGGTGTATTTGAGTTGTGCCATCATTAACTCAGAACTATCAGTGGCAAAGGAACACAGGCGTGGAGCACTCTGCTGCTTCCCAACCTCCCTGGCCACACACCCTGGCAACAGCAGTGAGCAAGGACACAAATTCAACACCACAAAAACACACAGACAAATTCAGCCATTAAGCAGGCAGGCTCTGAAAGGTACTTTTAAATGGGCCAGGCTCTGGATAACACCCAATCTTCCCCTAGAAGAGACAGGGGAACTGAAGTGCTCCAGGCAGGGCCCCAACTCCTGCAGTTCCTCACCCGGCTGGGTGGGTCTGACCCACCTGCTCAGACCTACAGCCCTGCCCCAGGTGTGGCCTCTGGAGCAGCTCTTGGAGAAGGGCCTGTAGAGTTTATACACTTTTAACAGAGGAAACTGTCCCAGCAACTGAATTGCAGGAGGCATTCCAGAGAAAGTTATTAGCTGGGATCATCCACCACAGACAGGAGCATTGGAAGACAATCCAGAAAACATCATCAGGAGATAGTGTGAGAAGAGATAAAAATAAAGAGTAGGAAAGGGGATGATGCACAGAGAACACAGTGGGAAGCTCTGAAAGCAGAAACAAGAGGAAGGTAACACAGCAGCTGAGATGACCTCAAACAGGCAGTAAGCAGAGAAAAGCCAAGAGAGTAGCAGTTCTTGTAACAGACCTTCTGTGGACTCATCATAGATGTTTTCTTGTTGAAATATCAGGAAAAGCAGCAAACTTAGCAAAACCCAGAATTAACGAGTAACACAAAAATACAGCTGCAAAGACAGTGTTTCTCTGACACTTGTATTTGAAGCCTAGGTAGCAAGAAAAGAAAATGCTTAGAGAGCCCAAGGGTTCAGCCCAGCAGCCTCAGCTGATGAGAAGGCAGAAACAGCTGTGTGACCCTCCAGCCCAGAGTAACAACTCAGGTGTGTGCTGCAGGGATGGCCCCAAACCCCTAAGGGATCAAATGTCCTGCACCTCGGCAGCCCAGGAACAGGCAGGAAGGCAGTCCCACGTGGGGAGCCTGCTATGGAACTGCACAGAGCTGTCAGGGCTGAGGTGAACACAGCCAACAGCTCAGGTTTTGGGAAGGACAGGAGCTTAAGTGGAAAAGAAGCCCTTGACACACCTTTTTAGTCTGCCACTTCACAGTCTTTAAAATAGCCCCAAGGTAGGTCTAGTACCAAAATTATGGTCCCACATCTCCGTTGCATTACTGAAAAACAAGGTACTGAGTCTTTGACTCCATACAAAGGAAGTGTGCAAAACAATCCTGAAGTTCATTTCCCTTGGGAGTTATTAGCAAGTCTGGACAGAACAGAGCTCACCTTCCCCATCGAATGTCCCTTGTCCTTTCAGCATCTTCTGCAGATAATTTTAAGAGAAAAGAGAGATATGTTAGAAGGAGGAGAACGCAAAACAATCACAGTAACAAGAATGTCTGTTTTATTCAAGACTTGGGCACCAAATAAACAGGCCCTAAATCTGTAAACTTCCTATGTTGGACAAGAGCTCAGTAGAAACAGTTGTGTCACCAGAGAAAGTGAAAAGCTACCCTAGTTTCATTTCTCTCATGCCTTGCTTAGATGTATTTTCCCCATGTTTCAAAAACACACTACACTGGCTTGAAAGGGGTTCAGTGAACTCACAGCTCATCCCTCTGTCCCAGGGCTGTCCGTGGAGGCTGCCCTTCCACCCTGCAAACAAAGCCACTCTGAGCACTTTGCAAAGGAGCCTGCTGAGAGCACAACAAACCTCTGAAACAGAACAGCTGTTCTGGTGCAACAAGTCCCAGGGCCCAAGAGTCTATTTAATAAAACACTACTTGCAGAGAACTCTGTAAGGACAGCACAGTTTCGTGTCCTCCTATCTTAAACTTAACTCACTGTTTTAAGTCTATTACCAAACCAAGCCACACTCTGCAGCTGTTCACAATTCCATCAATTTCTATTTCACTGTTTGCAGTGTTTTCACAGAAGCATCCACTATCATAATTTCACACTGGCTGAAAACTGCCATAAAGCTGTTAATTAATTTAAAAGCTACAGCATCAGCCCTTGGCCTGATGTACTTTATTACAGAGAAATCTATGAATGTATTTAATACAGTAACAAGTTATATCTAAAATAAGGAAATACAATATTACACTATGATAAGTAAAAGAACACTATCAGTATGTCTTTATAATTTAATACATTAACATTCAATGTAACCCTACAAGAGGATTCTAAGGGATTACAACCAAGATTTAAAAACAGGCATACTGCTTTTACTTTCAGGCATTAAAAATTAAAATTACTTTCAGGCATTAAAATACCTGAAGTGATTTGTATCAATTTAAAAATCACTCAGTCATTTTTAAAAATAATTTAAAAGTAATGTCTCAGAGAAGCGGGGGAGGAAGTTCATTTTTCTGTCTCTATTCTAGCACACAGACTTTATTAAGACAATGTCCCTTTTTTTCCTGTTTACTCCTTTCTGGGACACAGGTTTTAAGCCTGGTTGGTTGTGAAAGCTGGAGAATCCAGCAGGAAAAGTGAGCAGGAAGCAGCCAGCAAAGGCTCTGAATCTCCCGCGTTTCAACAGAGCCCGCCATCTCCAACACCTCACTTGGAAAACAGCACTTTTAAAACTCACAGTCACTATGAAAAGTTTTGCATTAGCAAAAAAGCAAACTGAAAACTCCCAGCATTTATGGAAAACGCAGGATCAGCAGGCCAGGCTCCCACGGAGCCAACACCTTCACCTGTCAGCACACCTTACCTTAATCCTCCCCAGGCTCGAGAACTTCTCTTTATCCTCAACCACCGCTTTCAGGACGGGCTGGGACATTCTGTTTTGCTTCTTGCAGTTGGCGGAGCCGTCCAGGTCCACGCCGCTCACCACGGCCCGGCGGTAGGACGTGGAGCGCAGCCCGCGCCGCAGCGCGCCCGGGCCGCCCTCGGGCTCGTCCTCGGGGTCGCTGCCCAGGGACAGCCGCGGGGTCTCCACCAGGCTGCGCGCCTTCAGGCCCCGCTCGTGGCCCGCGGGCCGGCTCTCGGCCAGGCTGCGGGGGATCAGCTGCTGCGAGCCCACCCTGCGCGCCGCGGGGCTGTGCGTGCTCAGCAGCGCGGGGGGCTCCGCGCACGGCCCCGCCGGGGGCCCGCCGCGGCCGGCGGCCCTGCCCGCTGCCCGGCGGGGAGATGGTGCCGTTGGCGGTGGAACCGACGGGGCCGTCCGGAGCCAGGGCGAGCGCCCGGGAGCGCCGCTCCGGGGACAGCGCGGGGGAGCCCGGCGGCCGCACGGTCCCGTTGGACACCGATCCCATGGCGGGGCTGCCGGGCGAGCGGGTGCCGGTGCCGGCGGGCTGAGTCACGGGGAAGGCGCACCTGTCCTCCACGGGGAAGTCGGTGACGAGCACTCCGCTGGGGCTCTGGTAGGACTGCGGCCGCAGCTTGCTCCAGGCGAGGGGCTGCGGGCGCGGGGTCGCTCGCCGCCTCCAGCGCGGCGCGGCGGGGCCCGCCGGGGGCTGCCCGTCCATCGCCGCCCGCCC